GAGGATCATGTTTTCACAGCCCAATTCAGATTCTTTCATACTCAGATAGAGAGGAAGAATTTTTGTCCTCAGAACATGATTGATGTATTAAAACGTATGACATTTAATGGGAGATGGGGTCTGTTCCTTCTAGGTTTCATTTGTGATATACATTTTCTGACTTTCCTGGGAACCAGTTCAGGAAGCATCAGTGAAGGTCCCCTCTGTGCTACCCACTGTCCACCTCCCTTGCCTGAGCCCAGCAGGAAGTGTTGCTGGGAAGATATGGAATAAGAGAGGGTGAGGGAGCTGGAGTGGAACAGGGGGCAGCCCTACACCCACTCTGTGGTCACAGCAAACACCCTCTGGGGGGGGTCCTGGGCTGTTTGTCCTCCAAGCAATACTTTGCTTTCTCCATGCTCCATTGTGCATCACAAGGAGGCTGACCTCCGCAGGTCCTTGGTTTTGCCTTTAGGGTTGGTTTTCTAGCTTTTATCATCTCAACAAGCTCCTTCTTTCTTCTCTTTAATCATTTATAAAATGAAATTCTTTTCCTTATTTCTCTGGTTTATGGTTGGAGGGAGATTGAATGCAGGACAGTCTTGCACTCATGTGCCTGGTCTTCTAGGAACAGATGACCCTTGGAGATCCAGCTCCCACCAGACATCTGACTCTGGCTCTAGTAATGCTTCCTCCGCCTTCTGTCCCCACTCCTGAGGGCTGCCTACTTGACTAGCATCCAGGTGACTTCCTCATTGTCTCTTTAGCTTCTTAGCTCTTCCACCACTTGTGAAGCTAGTTCCTAGGGTTAAATTCCCTCCACGGGAATAGACTGCTCTCCGTTTACCTGCTTGGACTTTGACTGCTACCTGTGTTCCTTATATATTTGTCTCAGCCCTAGAAGGGCGGTTCCTAGATGCAAAATGTTTCATTTTCACAAAGTTGCTTTTTAAGAAGTCAGTTCAGACCAAGCATGGTACATGATGCTAACATGTCATCTCAGTAGGACGTTGTGAACACTTATTTCTGGATATACATAACATTGAGTCTGGTTCCTGACAACCAAGAAGGGCGTAGAAGCATTTTTCTCAGTGAACTTTAATTCAACAGAATATTATCTCTCCCACAGTGTGAGCCACGATGTCTGGAGGAGGAAAGAGCAGGTGGGATGGGTTCCTGCAGCACAGACACTGGGATAAAGCTGACATGGATTCACCTCCCAGCTCTTCCAGGTGTTGGCTGTGTGAGCTCAGGCCCATTATGCTGCTGGCCTTCGTTCTGTCAATAAAATATGGGTGTAATAAGAAGATAACCTGTGTAAAAGGCTGGCACAGGAAATCCTTGATCTTGCTTTTGGGGCTGCTTCTCTTGTTTGGATTCTCACTAATCTCCACATTCCTGCTTCTTTCCCTCTCCTGTTGACCTTCATCATTTATAAACTGAAATTCCTGTCCTCATTTTGCTAAAGCTCAGCTAAAGTGAGGGCTTCCCAGTGGTATATAATCGACCTGCCAATTCAGGTAGATGTAAGAGACATGGGTCCCATCCCTAGGTCAGGAATATCCCCTGGAGGAGGGCATGGCAGCCCACTCCAGTATTCATCCCTGGAGAATCCATGGACAGAGGAGCCTGGCGGGCTGCAGTCCAAAGTAGCCTGCCAGGGGTCACAAGGTCGGAAATGACTGAAGAGACTTAGCATGCACACAAAAGTGAAATTCTCAAAAATAAAAACTTTACTTGAAAGTGAAGGGAAACCAACAAGGAAACAAGTAAGCACATACAAAAGCAATAAAGTCACAGTCACTGTGGAAAGGACCCCTGAACAGGCCTTGGCAGTGACTTTGTGCCCCAGGGACCCAGCCTACCTGTCACAAATGCCCCCTACCTCACAGCACACAGCTGCTAGGCACCAACATAGCTCGTAGGACCTAGAGGCTTGCCTAAATGAATACAGAGTCCCTTTCAAAAATGAGTTTTTATCTCCCCCCACCACCCAAATAAAATCTGCTTTCATGCTGCATTTGTTCCTTGGAGGTTTCATTCAAATAAAGAGACTGTTCCCCTCTCAAAGCATCTATTCATTATGTTGCCTCCAAACCTGAAATCTCTGAACCAGGGAAGGTTCTGAGAATGCTGCCTTTCAACAGATTAAACAGCCTCTTGGTCCTGGAACTGGCACTAGGATTAGCTTGCTAAAAGAGAATCTTGTGTATGTTTTGCCCCGTTAGAAGTTGCAAATCAAAGGAACAATATTGGTTGAAGTCCGATGTTTCCCCAGCTTTGGTAGTAGTTTCTTTTCAGAGTTCCAGGAAAGCAAAAAGGAAACTGTCCAACCAAATAGACTACCTAGGGACTACTTGCTAGCATTTTGTTTAAATGTAGTCATTTCTATAGAAACAAAACGATGCAGTCTTCAAATAATGTTTCACAGTGCCTACCAAAGAATAAATACTCATCATTAACTCTGGAGCATGGGCATCTTCCTGACCTCTGGCTCGGCCAGCCTCTCAGAGACCACTGCAAAGGAAAATAGATTTTTTTTTTCCCCATAGAAAAGAAGCTTATCCTACACCTGTCTACTCTAGACCACATATACCTGCACTTCTCTTTCAGGACAGGAAGAAGAAATGGGTTTCTGCTATTATTTTCAAGAAGAACCAGAGGCTTCTACAGTTTGGGTTTATAACCAGGCACACATAACCTAGTCATATAAGCCAACCTATGTAACGTAAAGTGGCAAGATACATGAATACTGGAAACTCACGGCTCAGAAATAGTCAAGAGTTTTGATTGCACACATTTCCAGGGCCCTCATACATGCTGGCCTCCCACTTTTGAACATGTTTCCAGGTGATTTGGCATCACAGAATTCTCTCCTGTCTTTTTTGAGGAGATGGTACAAACACGGGACTCTGAGCTCATGGTCCCTTTCCTATGAAAGGTCTTCCATAAGAGACCATGGGCTATGTCAGAACAAAGTCGAGCTCTGTTCAAAGCTGCTGTTGAATTGGACCAGATTGACATTCCTTGGTCTATGCTGGTTGCAAACAGAATGCTGCTAAAATACTATAATATTGTTTGACATTTGTGCTCTAGTGATTTCAAGAGGGGAAAAATGTCTACTAGATGCCAGCAAGGTGATGAAAATGTTTAAATTCAGTGCATTTTCATTCTAAACAAATCTTTCTCATCTATGATTTTCTTAAAACATAGGATTCTTTCCCCTTTTTTCCTTAATTCTAATATTAAAAGCAGCAACTCATCTGAAATTTACTGTTGATAAAAAAAGGTGTATGTTTATACATGAATACGTTTATGTACATATTTAAAATTAATATTGATTTTTATTTTCCCCATTGATTATATTTTTTAATTGGGACAAAGGAAAAGCCTACTAATTTATTTTCAATGTAATGGCTTCTGTTTGCAAAAAGTAAGGGTCATTAGTGTAAAGTATAATAATCTGTTATTTTTCTTTGGCTGCTGTAACAAATTGCCACAAGCTTAAAAAAACAGAAATGAATAACCTTATGGTGCTATAGTTTAGAAGTCTGAAATTAGTCTCTGGGCTAAAATCAGGCCCATTCCTTCTGAAGCCTCTAGAGGAGGCTCATGATCATATGCTGTTTTGCCTTTTCCATGTTCCAGAGGCTGCCCTCGTTCCTTGGCCCTTGACCACCTCTACCATCAGAGTCAGCAAAAATCAGGCTGAATCTGCTCCCACTGTTCTCTCTCAGGTTCTAACTCTTCTGCCTCCCTTGTTCATCTTTTAGGGACCTTACAATTACATTGGACCTACCTAGAAACATCAGGATGTGAACTGTAAAGAACTGTGGAGTTGCTCGGTCATGTCCGATTCTTTACAGTACCATGGACTGTAGCCTACCAGGCTCCTCCATCCATGAAATTCTCCAGGCAAGAGTACTGGAGTGGGTTGCCATTTCCTTCTCCAGGGGATCTTCCCAACCCAGGACTTGAACCCAGGTGTCCCGAATTGCAGGCAGACGCTTTACCGTCTGAGCTACCTTATTTTGATCCTTAACTTGATCACATCCACAGAGTCCCTTTTGCCATGTAATCTAATATATTCATAGGTTCTGAGGATAAGGACATGAACATCTTTGAGGGCTATTATTCTGCCCACAACAATCTCGTACATAAATCTGCTGTGTTCTCTTACCTTTTGGAAGTAGCATAAACAGCATTGTATTGATAGTTCTACCAGTCTTTGACAGAATGTGTCTTTCTCCTCTGTTTGGACATGCCATTACCAGATATTTCAGAAAAACAGTGCAAAGAAGATTGAGTAGGACTAGAGGACTCAGCTGTGTAGCTGTATAGCAAGTCATTTCCCTGGAATTTCAATTCAGCACCTTCATCTGAAGAATGTGGATAATTATAAATGCTTTCTCTAAATCCTAGAGCTGTTCTGATAGTCACAGAATCCTGAAAACTGTGTATACCATTTTGCAAATGGAAGAGATGGTAGCCTAGCTGCTCCAGTAGGTTCAAGGAATATGAGTGTGTTAAACCATCAAGAAGCATCATTTAAGAATTAAAACTTCCTAAAAATACAGATTGCAGGAAAAGAATCTTAACTACATGAGAGAGGATGAAATCACTCTTTTCCATTCTTAAACAATCCTTTCTCCCTATCCTCTGAGATAGATCATTTTAATCTCTTTTCATGTTTATCTTGTTTTGCTTTTTCTTCTGCACTGATGTTTGTTATGCTTTGAGTAGATATTGATTCCCTTCTCATTAAGCCTACAAACATCTAATCATTCCTGTTTGGTTTTTTCATTTTTAATGATTTATATTTAAATTTTGGCAAATAGAGTGGTCTAACCTTGCCCTTTGAATGCCTGTGCATTCAAGTTCTTTAGGCAGATTTTATCTCTTGTTTTTTTAATTCTATTTTGAGTTTTATAAAAATAGATGTTTCTTATTATCCCCAACCCATAATTTTCTTTAGTGAACTTTTGTTTAATTTTCTTTTGCTTTAACATTTTATTTTTCAGACACCTCTCATTGAACCTCACGTTCCTCTTCGTCCTGCTAACACCATTACCAAGGTAATGGGATGTAGGTGGGTTGATGAGCCATCAGAGCTAGTTTCTTAAGTAACTATGAGAAGTGGTCCATATGTCAGAGCAGCACATCAGGAAACTGCAAATACACTTTCTAGAAACAATACATATCAGTGTGTCTCGGTTCTCAGTATAAAACAGTGACATATCACACAAGTGAGCAATACATATGTATGAATGAATTGTATTTTTCAAGCACAGAATCATATTGAAAAGTGATTTAAAGATTTATCTGGTTTGTTTTCCATCTATAATCTCTCCTTCTTTTCTTCCCCCTCCTCTCACTTGATGAAAATTCAGGTTCCTTCAGAGAAGATCCTCAGGGCTGGAAAAATTTTACGAAATGCCATTCTCTCTCGAGCACCTCACATGATAAGAGATAGAAAATACCACCTAAAGACATACAGGTATGTGTGATATAAATAGTGAAATTACAACAAACGTGTTTCCCTGTTTTCCATCTACAGGTAGCATGTTTTATAATCCTCTGGGTTCTAGAATTTCTGAGCTTGCCTTGGATCCCCACTTAACTCTAATTAGCCTTAATATTCCCAGGAATTACTCCTAAACTAATTTGCTTAGACATTGGGTTAAGTGTGATGAACAAAGAAAAGAAAACCTTTATTTGTTTGCCTATATATTTTAGGAAAACTACTAGATTTAGATGAGATTCAACTAACATTTACTGAGTGTTCATTTATACTCGAAGCCCTGAACAAGAAAGACCACTCTCCATACATTATCTCATTTCATCCTCATCACAATCTGTAAGGCCACTTTTCAGATGATAAATCTGAGACTCAGAGAGATTAAATAGTTTTCCTTGATCAAGTCACAAATCTAGTGAGTGGCAGAGCCAGGATTTTAAACCTAGGTTGATTGACTTCTAAGTTTCTTTCATTCATTCTATACATTTGTTAAGTACCTACTGGGCATCAAGCATTATTGTGTTTCAAACCCTAAGGATACAAGAGGGAAAAAAATATAAAATGCCCTTTACATAATTTACTTTCTAGTGTAGGATTCCATTGTAGTATAAATATAGTAAGATATTCAACTCTTTCACACCTCTAATCATACAGAATAACAACTCATTATGGCTGCCACTAGAGTTAAGAAATGATAAAGACTGGGGCCATGTGATTTAGTTGACCTTCTGAGATGATTGAACCATAGTGGGTCAATGAAGGATTCATGTCTCATCTTTAACTTTTGATTTTATCAATTCAAAAAGGATTCAGGAACTAGAATGGCCTGTTTATGGTACATAAGCCTTCACTCTCTCTCCCTGCACCTATGATTCAGACTCATGGTCTTCTTTCAGCAATCGTCGGCCCTCTTTCTCATTTAGCCTAGACATGATCTCAGAACCCATTAGACTTAGCATGAGTCAAAACCTATTTGATTCACATGAACCAAATTCATAAGACAGTGAAAAGCTAGAATACAAATTTTAAAGTTACCACAAAGGATATATATCTTTCTAGCAATTGTCAACCATGATAGAACCTATAAAATTATTTCTGACTCACCCTACGGTGAATGTTCAAGTATATTGCCTCAAAATCCAGTCTCTTCCCAAGGAAAGCTGGAAATGCATGGCAAATTCATCCTCTTAGGATCACTTTTTCTGCTTTCCATGCAAACTAACACTCTTCTACTTGCATTTGTCATGAATATGTTTGTAAGATCAAAATGATTTGTTACATTTTTTTTTTTTATTTGTTGCCAGTGCTTCAGGGCATGTAGCATCTTAGTTCCCCAACCAGGGATTGAACCCACCCCCACTGCATTGGAAACACAAAGTCTTCCACACTGGACCACTATGGAAAGCCCTATTTGCTACATTTAGAATGGCCTCTTCTTAATAGAATTCTAGAATTCTATTTGATGGGATTTGAGAAACACTTTAATCAGTAGCATGTTCCTCTTAGGACATGTTCCGTCTCTAAGGACAGATTGCTCCTCTTCCCCTTATAATATGGATATTTACCAGCTACCATTTTGGATGATTACATTTGAAAGCCTTTTCCTTCAACTCTGGAAGTTCATCTTTTTTTTTTTTTTTTTAAGTCTATAGTTCCTACACACTGCTATAATTTTGAGGGAAGTAAAGGTTAAAACGCCTGCCTATGGCCTCAGGGAGAGAGCTCAACCTCTTTAACTAATCAAGTGACTCTCAAAGTCTCATACAGCTGAAAGACCTTTTACTTTTTAATTTTTTTTTCCCTTAATTTAAAATGTGATTATGCTTTCCCAAGTGTTGACTTGCGCTAGGGAAATTCCATTAAAGATGTCATCTTTGGTGACAAATACTGGAAACTAGAAGTCAGAAACCATAATCTCTTTCTTGCTCCATAGTAGTAAGATTTTAAACCCCTGAAACATAGGTGTTAAGTCTATTCCACACCCTATGACACAAATTAATGATCTGTTGATAATGACCCATGAGGCATGATTTCTTTTTCCTGCAGGACATTTTGAGTACCTGGTCCCAAATCTTGGTTCCAGTTTCATCCCCTCCGCCACTCCTGCTTCTCCCCACTTCTATCATGACAGCAGCATTAGGGGTCCAAGTCTCCCCAGATGCAGTGTCATCCCCAGTGATCACCACACCAGAGGTCAGCTGTGAACCTTAAAATAACTAAATATCATTAATAGAGAGGAAACCCATGATTCCATCAGCTACAAGTGGCACAACTGTATGTCTTTGTCCTGTGTTCTGACTACAAGGGCTCCAAAGCCCTGGGATCATCTCAGTTCCATGTGCTCTTTTTAGTAAAAGTAATCGTTGACTTAAAGGCCACATTAAATTGATTTTTTATACTTTTACATGACTTTTCCCGTTAATAAATTCTCAAATTAGAAGAGGAACATGACAGATCATACATTTGGTTCAGGATGAAGAGTAACTAGGTGCCTCTTTGCCCATTGAGGCTCTAATGTGTAATAGTCTGTAATCAGAGCAGTCTTGGAAATCTAATAGCCTTCTCAGGACATCTTCCTTGTGTGGTGGGTCAGATCCAAATCAGAACATCCCAGGATCTCTGGTAGATTTCAGAGTTCCTAGAATCTTAGAAACGGACATGGCCTTCAAGGCCATCTTTTCCTCCTCTTTTCTTTTATAGATGAATAAAATTAAGAACCAGTAATTTGAAATGATATAGACAGAGTCATGCAGCTAATATATAGCAGACCTGGTGCTGGATCTCATGACTCCTCCCGGGCTACGCTCTTCCTAGAATGGACCAGCACCAGGAATCCCCTCCGGTTCAACTAGAGAGGAACTCCCTGGGCTGGGACCAGCCTCAGTGCCTCAAAGATAGTGGCATCCTCGGCCCAGGAGGTGAGGCCACCAGTGACCTCGACCCAGCTGTAGGCAGCCAGCTGCTTGTAACTCCCTGCTTGTTCCTCTGTCCGTTAGGGTTCCTCCCTCAGACTACATCATCCCATTTCCTCCACTGAATAGTCATGCCACAAACACTTCTCTCCCCACAGAAGCTTTCCTAACATGTGTATATGTGTGTGGTTCTGTGTTTCCTAACTAACGCACATGTTAATAGTTTGCCCATCCTGACCACCTTACCCCCGAGGGGCATCACAGTGATGAGTATGTGCCTGTACAGAAAGCATTTGGAGCTTTTCAGATGACAGGCTGTGTTGAAGTGCTGATGTTCATTACATCGAACTTTTTTCAAAGAGATTTGCATCACTAATTGCTTGTTTCTCCCAACACCCCTCTGAGGAAGCTCAGTAGTATTACTTGAAAATAGAAAGTGGTATATAATTTTGCACTTATCCAGAACCTGTCACAGAGTACCTCCTAGGGCTTCACAAACTTTAACTCATTCCTCACAAAGCTCAGGGGAGAGAAGTCAGAATTACGCTTTGCCTTCATTTGGCTTCCCTGGTAGTTCAGATGCTAAAGAATTTGCCTGCAGTGCAGGAGATCCAAGTTCGATCCCTGGGTCGGGACGATCCCCTGGAGGAGGGCATGACTACCACTCCAGTATTCTTCCCTGGAGAATTCCATTGTCAGAGGAGCCTGGCAAGGTACAGCTCATAGGGTCAGAAAGAGTTAGACATGGCAGAGAAACGAACACTTCATTTGACCGTGAAATTTTCTGGGACCAGCTTAAGAGTTTCTAGCCCTGGGATTCACTTGCCAGATCACGCTTCTTGCCTCACAGCCCTTCTGCCTCCCCGGGGCTGCAACTTATGATGGTCTTCCGATGTTTAGCCAGCCTTGCCTAGAAGGTTGCCTGTGAGTTGAGTGGTCTTACTGGTTTGTACAATAGTTTGAGAACCTGTGGCCGTATCATGTGGTGCTTCGTTTGCCAAAGGGTAGAAGGGCACCAGGCCCTTCAGGAGGAGCTCCTCTCAGAAGCCATCTCCCATCCTGCATCTGCAAGTGGGTGACCTCCCCTCCTTTGTGTCCCGCCACTCTTCAGACAGTGCTGTGTGGGGACCGAGCTGGTGGACTGGATGCTGCAGCAGACTCCATGTGTTCACTCCCGAACGCAGGCTGTGGGCATGTGGCAAGTCCTGGTAGAAGACAGCGTTCTCAACCACGGTAAGATGACATGCGGTCCCTGGAAAACCCTCAAGAAATGCTAAGCATGTTTCCCTGGGTTGGTTGTGGCTGAACTCCCACATGGGCCAGAAAGAATTATGATCTCTTTAGGGACCCGCAGAGCTGGCGTCTTCATTTAGCAATACAAATGCAGCGAGTGGATGCCGTTGATTGCAGTGTTCCACCATTGTACCTTCCTAACTTGGGAGAACGTTTGAAGGGAAAATGAAATTGCAACCCGAGTGCATCAGTTCCAATTATGTTTATTAGTTTGCATTCACGGTTCATTGATAGCGTGATTATACTCTGAGCATCGCACAGCAATCCTGATGCAGCGGCCAAATGAGAGCAATGAAGTGTGTGGCCAGGCTGATGACATGAAAGAGAGTAATGAATTCAGAACCTGCGTTTTCTGGGAGAGCCAATTTGTGTACCCACACAATGACCGTATGTGAAATCATGCGTGCTCTCTGGTTGTAGCCCCTGATTATCTAAGGAGAGTAACTATTCAGGACAGGAGTAGGACTATGGTTTAACTCCTCATGCCATTTGTTTAAAGATCACTTTTCCAAACAGACAAACTACCAAAATCTTTCCTTTAATACCTGGGAATGTAATGCTGGTCTTGCCGGTATTTCACAGACTTTACTGTGTATACAGATCACCTGGAACTCTTGGTAAAATGCAGACTCTGATTCAGAGAGTCTGCATTTCCAACAAGCTCCCAGATGATGCTGATTCATATTTTTGAGCAACAAGGATCTACCACTCCTTATCTTTGGACGGTGTTGATGCTTCCCACTGAAAAGGGGCTTAAAACTTTAAGACACAAAGATGACAGATTATAAACCAAGTTCATGACTTTGTCTTTCAGAGATCTAAATCTTCTGGTTTAAAGGGAATATGATTTAAAAAAAAACTCTTTAAAATTTGAACTAGAAGGAAATTATTGTTAGACACTAGGGGTATATGACCTAGATGGTTGGTCTTGTCAGCTTTGCTCAGCCAATTTCACTTTAATTTTTAAAGTGAAGACAAGACATGGTTATAAACAGTACATATAAAAAAGAAAAAAATCAATTCTGCTGCTGATAAAGTCAGGTTTTTTTAAGTCTGTGCTTTGACAAAACCACTCTAGAGCACGATCTGGCAGTTGGCCATTTTCCTCTTTAGCATGTATAACCCACACACTAGAAAATGTCATCAAGCCAATTTCACTGGTCAGAGGGCTCATCTCAGGGAAGCTGGCAGGTTCTCATAGGAGAGTCCCGGGGCAGCTCAGGAGGTGGGCGGGTCAGAGAGAACTGTGAGGTGCATGACTGCTGCTGGGAGGTCCCCGTCTTCCAGCTGCGCCACCCTGGGCGAGGCCACGGGAAAAGGGTGAGGAGTCCCAATGCCTTGCTTCCACTTGGCTGTCTTGCCATTCATTCATTGGACACCATCCATTCGTTTCTGGTAAACGGGCTGTGAGGCAGAGGTGCCCACAGCTGACGCTTGCCCCCATGTTTCCCGTAGTGGATCAGGAGCATCACTTCCAAGACAAATATTTATTTTATCGATTTCTGGATGATGAGCACGAGGACGCCCCTTTGCCTACGGAGGACGAGAAGAAGGAGTGTGATGAAGAGCTGCAGGACACCTTGCTGCTGCTGTCGCAGATGGGCCCGGACGCCCACATGAGGATGGTCCTTCGCAAACCGTGAGTGAGAGCCCTTAGCTGCTCGCTGGGGCCGCCCTGTGCGAGGCTTGCACCTGCGCAGAGGGAAACGAGGCTGACTTCTAAAGTCCTGGCCTGACTTCACCCAGCGCCAAAGGAGAGATTACAAAGGGGCGATGCAGCAGGGTTTGCCTCCTGTCATTTTCTTCTGTGTTTGAGCCAGATAGTTCCATTTCCCTTATTGCATGAGTTAAAACTCTAGAGACTTTTAGCAATTGGCTCAGGATGTCAAGACGGAGTCCACGTATTAAACAACCTTTGGTCCATGACAAACAGAAACTGCTCTGCTTCTGAGCCAGACTGTGGCAGCCTCCTTCTTTCTAATGCAGTAGGACAGAGGAGTCAGGACTGTAGACTTCATGCCAGTTCTCCTATGCCACATTCATTCATTCAGCACATTCTTTTGCCCCATGCAGAGCCTTCTCTCCTTAGCTTGAAGACACATTCTTTTTTAAAAAGTGAAGTACAAAAAAATAAATAAATAAAAAGTGAAGTACACTTGGTTTATAATATTGTGTTAGTTTCCAGCATACAACAAAGTGAATCAGTTCTATATATTTTTTCAGATTATTTTCATTATAGGTTATTGCAAGATATTGGCTATAGTTCCCTGTGCTATATAGTTAATTCTTGTTGTTTATCTATTTTATGTGTAGCAGTTTCCATCTATTAATCCCAAACTCCTCAGTTATCTTCCCCTCTCCCTTTCCCCTTTGGTAATCATAAGTTTACTTTCTATGTCTGTGAGTCTTTCTGTTTTATATATATATTCATTTGTATTACTTTTTAGATTCAACATATAAGTGACGCCATATAACATTTGTCTTTGCCTGCCTTACTTCACTTAGTATGAAAACCTCTAGGTCCGTCTATGTTGCTGCAAATGGCATTATTTCATTCTTTTTATGGCTGAGGCTGAGTTCCATTGTATCAATATATATGTACCACCTCTTTATTCATTTACCTGTTGATGGACATTTAGGTTGCCTCCACGTCTTGGCTATTGTAAATAGTGCTGCAATGAACATAAGGGTGTATAAATCTTTTAGAATCAGGATTTTCATCTTAAAGACACAAGAGGACACCACTGCTTTTTTAACTCTTCAGGGCCTTTATTCGTCCAGTGAGGTGCTCTTTCCCATCCAGCTCAGTTTAAACCTACCTGACCATCAGTAGCAACCTGCTCGCTAAAGTTGAGGACCCTCAAGTGTTGAATCAGATCAATCCAGAAAGACTCTGTTGATCCCTTCCTCTGTTTCAGTCAGTCAGTCAGTTCAGTTGCTCAGTCGTGTCTGACTCTTCGTGACCCTATGGGCTGTAGCACACCAGGCTTCCCTGTCCGTCACCAACTCCTGGAGCTTGCTCAAACTCGGGTCCATCAAGTCAGTGATGCCATCCAACCATCTCATCCTCTGTTGTCCCCTTCTCCTCCTGCCTTCAATCTTTCCCAGCATCAGGGTCTTTTCCAATGAGTCAGTTCTATGCATCATGTGGCCAAAGTATTGGGGCTTCAGCATCAGTCCTTCCAATGAATATTCAGGGCTGACTTCCTTTAGAATGGACTGGTTGGATCTCCTTGCAGTCCAAGAGACTCTCAAGAGTCTTTCCCAACATCGCAGTTCAAAAGCATCAGTTCTTCAGGGCTCAGCTGTTTGGGGCACTCCACTATCCCTGTGGGGCATACAAAGAAGCATGTGCCTCAGCTCTAGCCTCAGGGAAACCTTCTCACTAAAGGGTGACTTGGCATATGGTCCTGCAACCACTGTACACAGGGCTTATGTTTTTCTGCTGGAAATGAAATCCCACTCCACCCGGCAACTGGTGCCAGCCAGCTGTGGGTGTCAACTCTGAGTCACCAACTTGGCCAACCTCCATTTATCAGTGGGTCTCAACAGAAGCATTGCACTTTAGCACATCTCCCATGTCCCTCAGACCAGCTTCCTGGTGTGGGCCCCACCTCCCAGCAGCCTCTCACTGCACCCTTTTTCCCTTTCCCCAGGATTCTTCCCTTTCCCTTGCCCTTACTCTGAGCTGCAAGGAGGCTCTTCAGCATAGCTCATTTTTTGCCACAACTTTCTCTTAATCCCATACCATGTGTTTCAGAGGCCTTCCCTCTATTCAGTTAGCATCATCATCCTTAACTCCACAACCATGGTTCTCAGTTCCTTTAACTTCAAAACCCTTTCTTCAAACAAAAATTTTGCTGGAAAATCCAAAATTACCAAACAGAAAAGCCAGTGCTTCACTGATCTCATCATGAGTTGTGCTCAAGAAACCTGCCCAGCATTTACGTTCTCTGAGCCCTGGAGGACCATGGGGGGGGGGGGGGCAGTGGGGGCAGGGCGTGGAGAGACAGGAGAGTCCCCTGGATTTGGGGGATTCAGATGACGGGCCTCACTCTAAACTGTGCTCTTGCCTCTTAGACTGCTTCTCTCCCCTCTTCCCTATGCTCCCGCGTCTCACTGTCCCTTGTTTACCTCCTCTTCGTGTCCTGGCTCTGTCCCTTCTTGCTGCCACCTTCATTCAAGCCCATATCACACCATGGTTCTCAAACAGATGCAGGCCAGCCCCAAGGGGCAGGCATCAGAAATTGTGAGAGGGGGTTTTGATGGCCATACTGCTGGCATTTGCTGGGCAGTAGCAGGACCTGAACACACTCCACTACCTAGAACACTACAAAATAAGCTGCCCTGCACAAAAAGCCTCTGTTGAGAAACACTATTGTAAACTGGGTTTCTTAAAGGTGAAGGCATAGCTCATTTTACTTCATTCATTTAGTCATTTAACCAATATTTATTGAACATCTATTTTGTCCTAGATACTATGTTAGTTGCAAAGGCTGCAGCATTAAACTATTAGAGGGTTGCACCCCCAGCCTGAAGCTTTCTGTCTAGGGCAGGAGCCATACCATGAACAACTAGTTATGCAAATAATCATTTAATAACAGCTGCATTGCATGCTACAAAGGCAAATGTAGTGTATATCAATAGAACATAATCTGAAGAGGGAAATTGAACTTGATGTGGACGTTAGAAAAGGGCATATCCCAAGCTCTGTGCCTTACATCAAGCAGACTATCAGCAAACCTTTGCTGAGTGATTGAATGAACAAATGAACATAAAGCCCCAGCTCTGATGTTCCCTCAGCTCGCAGTTGCTTCAGGGGAGACAGAAATGCCATTCAATTCACATATATTTTTGAGCATCTGCCAAAGAGGTTTTTTGAAAGTAGTGAAATGGCTCCTGCCTTTGGAGAGTTTGTAATCCAGTGGAATGTGCATGTTAAGTTGCTTCAGTCGTGTCTGACTCTGCGACCCCATGGACTGTAGCCCCCCAGGCTCCTCTATCCATGAGATTCTCCAGACAAGAATACTACAGTAGGTTGCCCTACACTTCACCAAGGGATCTTCCTGACCCAGGGATCGAACCCGTGTTTCTTCTATCTCCAGTATTGGCAGGCAGGGGTCTTTACCACTAGCGCCACCTGGTGGGAGTTAGGCACTCCCAAATTAGATTTGGATGCCACAAACATTGAGCGCCGGCTGTGTGGAAGGAAGACAGCATGCTAGGGATATTCATGCTAATTGTTTGATTCACACTTGCAAGAGCCTGAGAGCTGATGTCATGAGTCTCCCTTAGAAAGAGTAGCCTGTATTTCTTTTCCTTCCATACAGCACTAACTCAGAGATCCTTCAGAGAAAGTTACATTACGAAGTTTGGGCTTTTCCAGCCCATCTCTGGCTGTAGATTACAGATTTCACCAGTATCCCAAGATACATCATTTTGGGTGCCCTTAGGATTGTCCCGTCTTTTCAGGCTTTATGAAACTTCAAACATTGGAATTAAACTGCTAGTTCTTCTTGTGACTCAGTACTCTTAGCTTTTATATCTATGTGAATGACTGTCCCTAAGAGATGGAAGAGTGAAAAAGAAGGAATCTAATTTTATGAGCCAGACTTCTGACTCTACACACACACACACACACACACACACACACAAATCTTTAATCAGATAATAACCTTTGGAACTTCTACTGTACTTAAGTGGAAAGAAAAGAAGCTGAGTTCATCAAGAATTACTGGTGTCTCTGTTGTCCTTGCAGAGAGCAGCTGAGCCCTTTGCTCCTGGGAACTGGTCCTGGAAATGTTGACTTTTGACTGCCCCAACTGCCAAGTCACTAGGAAATGTGGAGGCATGAGCTGCATTGGCTCCATATTGACCAGGGCGGGAGCCCCCAATATTGTAACTCAGCACAGCTGCATTTTATAATAGTCACCACTGCCAGGGAGGTTGCAGAACTCTGATAATTACTGGGAAAGAAATAACACAATATTCTTTGATGAGAAGATTACTTTGAGAATTTGATTGTATAATGAAGATGTTGCTTTGAAAGGTACTTCCTATTGTTCTGAATCTGAGACTCGCTAGCAAAAAAAAAAAAAAAAGTGTCACTTGTTTTGACAGGCTACTTAGAAAAATTCTCTGTTTATTACATTAACTGCAGCATTTTAACTGTCAAACTATGAAAGAATGTTCTGTAGTTTAAAAAACAGAATAGAGCTTCAGGGGAAATTTTTTGGCACACTCTTGTTGCTATTGGTATTGAAAAAAAAAACAGTTATTCTGAATGCGAAATTAGCTTTTTATGTGGTGGCAGGCAGAGTGACTCACAATGCCCACCAGGCCTCACAGGTGCAGACCTGGGTGGTTTTTGGGGGCAAGTGCTGAACAACAGTGACAGTTTGATGGCGCTGTTGTTGCAGCTTCCAGACAGGGCCAACAAACCTAAAATGAGCTTCTAGAGCTTATTGTTGTGATTTTGCTTTGTTTTTAAGTCTAAAAACAAGAGGTTACCCTACAGCAAATAGATACAGTAGAGACCCTTACCAGCAGAAACATACATTCTGGCTACCTTTGCGCAAGTACTTTGGAGAGGACTGTGGACAAAGAGATGTGGGGTGAGCAGATAAACAGAATGTTATA